TTCACACGTGATTTCGTCTTTGGCTAATGGTGAGGGCTAGAAGAGATGTGTTCTGTCTCAGGTTATCACTAACATTGACCAACAATGCTCTGATTCTGGATACATCACCATAGGCAGAATGTGATCTCAGTACCTCTGATAGGACAGTAGCCAAGTTCACCCTGGGCTTGTCAGACTCTCGACTGTACCTCAGGACCCCTGCAGCTCTAACACATTAGGAGGACACAAAGTCAACAGATTCAGGATATTCTTTATTGTAAGGATTTAATTATTTTTTAATCTATGTGTGTGTGTGTGTTATTCCATCAAAATGTGTGGACACTCACTGGAAAAGCTGGGGCTCATTTTTATCCTTGTTCATCTTACTGTAGTAGTTTTCTCCAGAAACAAAAATTAAGACAAAATAATGATGGGTGAAAAAATGGGAATAATAATAATAATAATAATAATAATAATAATAATAATAATAATAATAATAATAATAATAATAATAATAACAATAATAATAATAATAATCTCGGTATATTTCAATCAATCAAATATGGAGGATACAGAGAATGTCAAATAGCTAGGATTCCTACAATTATGTGTTTTAGAATGTATAGGAAATTATATAGAAGCACACACAAGTAAAATATAAATAAAATATTTTACCAGCTCAAAGTCACATCATCATGGTAGTCGTTCAGTGACCTCCTGTCAGCGTAGACTTTGAACACATTGGAAGTCTGCATACCTGCACCTGCATGAACCTAATACTTCTTAGTGTTGTCGGTAACCATGGAGAGGGTTAGTAGGTTGCTATGGAACTGAACTGAGTGTGTGAGTGAGTGAGTGGAACAATAATTGCTGTTAAGCAACAATCTCATCCAAGAAAAGGTGTTTTTTGCAAACAAAAATTGCATGTAGTTTCTCTTAATCACCTGCTGGCGGTGCTATTGTCTGAACGCCATTTGGCGTATAACATTATTAATTTGTATTTCTTTAACCCTCATTAACCCTCCAGAAAACTCCACCTGGAACGGCAAGACAAATTAAATAAGTATTAATTGTTTATCGTCTAAACTACCATAGTGCTGACACACAGTCATCAACACAGAGAAAATTGATTGGTCTACTTGGCGAAATTAGCCAATGCGAATGCTTTATTCTCTCTCCACGCGCTCTCTCTCGATGCGCGTTCTCGTCAGACGCGTCCCTACTTAGTGCAGCGCACGTTGCGATGTTAATCTTCATCATGCCCTTTCTTTTATTTGCACCAAACAAGCTATCTTGACAGAAAACTAATAAAAAAGAGAATTAAACATATATAAGGGTCGTTCCTTACACACACGCATGCACGCATGCACACGCACACGCGCACAGAACCTTTCAGCCGTTCTGAACACACTCAGGTGTATCAAATATGTGGTGATTAGGAGACACCTGCCCATCCAGCAGCCGCGGCCTCTGATTAGCTGCTGCTCTTCCTGCTAAAACGGGAGTTAGTTAAAAGGTGAGACAAGTGTTTGCTCAGGAGCTTAAAGCTTTTCCTGAAGTCATCAACAAAAGAAAGCGAGATGTCTGAAGGAAAAATGAAAGGAGCACATTTTTACTTGGCTGTGAGTTTTCTATTGATGTGGTTTTTGGTGCAATCGGTGAATTCCTTTCGGCTGAGGAAAACAGAAAGAAGGGCCGGTCATCGAGAGGCTCTCTCCAGCCGAACGGTGTATGGCCAGGAGGGTGTTATTCTTTTTGGTAGGGCTTTTGAAAAAGGGACAGGCCTTGAGTTAAAAGTTGTAAATTGGACCAAGAATGCTGCTTCAAACTCATCTGAGGAGGACAAACGGGCTTATCAAGCAGACTCTCCACGTATGTCTATCTTTCCTTTAACTTGTTTTTAACATTGCCTCTGGTCTGTGAAAATGGATGGTGTATGTTTTTAATTTGTGTTCATATCTCCTGTTAGCTGTCTATCACAATCCATTAGAAATCAATCCAAAAGAGATGGCGTGGAGCCGCATGAGTCCACAACTGCAATGTAGTAAGGACCAAATGAAGTTCACAGCAACAGGACCCGGGAGTTCACTCTTGGCAGTGGAGCAAAAACAAGGTTGTTAATCATTGTCTCGGCTAAAAATCAAATTTACACACTATCTCTGCTTATCGTTGTCTTTCCACCCACAGAAAATGCTCCTCCAATGCCCCTGTCTCAGGTTCCACCAAGCTGTGGGTATACCATGCATAGGAGCCCGCTTACACTTGCTTTGCTTGTACCATTTGATGGCTGTAATGTTGTTCAAGAGGTAATTATTTTAAATTAATGCTCTTATTTAGGATGCCTGAGGTGTTTTTTTTTTTTTTTCTGTTCCATGAGGAAAATGCATGTTTTCTCAATTTGTTGGTAAATTTTTTTTAGAAAATACATTTAAAAAAAAAAGAAGCCTTTGATGAAACTAACATTTTATTTTTCTCAAGGGTGGAAGTTACATACTTCCAATGCGTTGGCAAGGATCTCCTGTCTCTCTCTGGTGCCCCAAACCAAGTGATCCTAGTCTGCCACCTACTGACTTGCCCAAGAACAACCCAACCCAAATGCCTCAAAAGCTTATGGCTCCTCACCCTGTCTATAACTATATGCAGCCCCCAGTACAGCAATCTAACGTCCAAAAGCCTGCACCAGCCACGAACGGCAACGGAATTAAAAACATGCCATTCTATTCGTATGTCTACGTTCCTTGGCCTGTCCCTGCAACTCAGCAGCCTCCAGAGATGACAACTATACCACCTCCAAAACTTCCACATGTCCCAAAATTCCCCTATGTTCCACAGGTACCGCAAATGCCAAATGTTCCACAGGTACCGCAAGTTCCACAGTACCCTGGGTTTCCAAAGTTCCCCCAGGTTCCACAGGGCCCACTAATTCCTCAGGTTCCACAGGCACCGCAAGTTCCACAGTACCCTGGGTTTCCAAAAGTTCCACAAGGCCCGCAAATTCCCCAAGTTCCACAGGTACCACAAGTTCCTCAGTACCCTGGGTTTCCAAAGTTCCCCCAGGTTCCACAGGGCCCACTAATTCCTCAGGTTCCACAGGGCCCACAAATTCCCCATGTTCCGCAGGTACCGCAAGTTCCACAGTATCCTTCAGGTTCCACAGGGCCCACTAATTCACAGGGCCCACTAATTCCTCAGGTTCCACAGGCACCGCAAGTTCCACAGTATCCTGGGTTTCCAAAATTGCCACAGGTTCCACAGGGCCCGCAGGTTCCACAGTATCCTGGGTTTCCAAAATTCCCCCAAGTTCCACAGGGCCCACTAATCCCTCCGGTTCCACAAGGTCCGCAAATCCCCATTCCCAATGATCCTGTCGATCCCCAGATGCCTCCAGTCCCTAACTTCTTCCGTGCAAAGTTCGTTCCATTTCCTGGTCTTCCTGCTGCAACTGCTCAACCACCTACGATTGCAACCACAGCAGCGCCAGCCACAATGAAGCCGGAACCTGTTCTGACTCCTGTACAACAGAATCCTTATCTTTATCCATATATTTATGATCCTTATCTGTATAACTTTCCTGTACCAAATAAGTTGTTCAGAGAATCTAAATAAATGTGACTAACCAGTTCTCTGTCAGTATTGGTGTTCTTTGAAGCATGAGGTTTCATTTTCTTCATCTATTGCTAGGTTTCTTACAGATGGCTTCAAAATAAGCATGGTTACTGCTTTAACTGTTTTTGTAGACAATCTGGTGGGTAACTAGACTAAACTAGTTTTCAACTACTGCCTGAGATGGCATAAAATCAATTCTCAGTGGGGTCTAATGTACCATCCAGGCCTTTCACATATTAACTTGTATTTTGTAGACTTAATGCTAAGTTTTGTCTTTAGCACTCAATGAAATTTCATACTATCATAATTTATTTTGGGCTGACATTTGTGATCACTTTTTTTTCTGATATTTTTAGCTATTGCTGTGTTAGTTAACAGGAACAAGTGCTGTTGTTGGGGGGGGTTGTTTTAGGTTGTAGTGCTAAAAACAATGTCAAAAGTTATTAACAGTTATTGCTGTAAAATGTATGTGCATGAATCCAACTATCACTGCTGCTGATAGCACTCCTATGGTGGGGGAAAAATACAGAACAATTGTTGTGCATGTAAAGATGGCATCAGACTGCAGTGGTGCTGCACAAATGCTAACCTGCTTTACCTGGTGTACTAAGTTATATTCAGAAATGAAATTGCTAGCTACCTTATAATAATAATAAAAGGCATAAAAGGTAGCTAGCAAAACATAACTAACAAACTTAGCTAAGTGCTAAAGGTTTTCTTTTTCTTTTACACCATCAGTAGAAAACCAGTTATGGATACAGTATTGTAGTGTACGTATGTCATACTCCAATGGCCAAATGATATAGCAGATCATTTTATTTCATTTTTCACAGAAACAGCATTGACTTATCAATTCCAAAATCTGACAAATATGGTTTTGAAATGAAAAACATATCTTTTTATTTTATTCAAATTAAACATTTCTGGTTAAAGCATTTTCAGCATATGTTTTCTAATGAAAATACATGTTACCATCATAAATCTCTTTGTCTGTAGCCTTGAGTTGGCTCTGCCCTTGGCAAATGTGTTTTATTATTATTATTATTATTTATTTATTTATATCAGTCATTGATGCAATTCTTTAAAGTTCCTCTAGGAGTTCTAATTAAATAACTAATATTGTTTTCTAGCTTAAGTCTTACACATCCGTTAAAGCTTTAAACCTTTTTAAAAATCCATATTCAAGTCAAACCTTTTGCAAAATTCTTGTATTCGTTTTATATTTTCTAACTTCACTGGCATTTTTCCATATTTCTTTTCACTCCCTGCAGACTTAAAGCACCAGATTAAGTCTTAATGAGTTCACCTGGTGTAATCTTGACTCCAGGCTGCAGTGGCTAAATCTGATTGGTTGATCACCAGCTGTCCCTGTGACCTCGTTATAAAATTCTCTTCTTTTTTAAACTCCTGTTGCATTGCAAGGAGGAGCTGGCAGGTGTTTAGCTCCACTATGGCAGGTAAAGCTAAATGCTGCTGCAAGCTACTTCATACTGAAGCAGTCATTTTGCTCCTGTTCTCTATGGTCTCTGTTGTACCATGCTTTACTTTGCGGAATCTACGTGAAAATGTTCAACAAGGCCAGGTTGTTAGTAAGGCAACAGAGCATGCAGTAAGGACAGGGATAGTCATGTTTAATGACAAAGAGTTCACTTCAGACTCAGAATCTTCCCCTGCACCTGCAGGTGGTGATGGCACAGCCAGTGTTGAATCCAGCGGATCAGAAAAAACAGGTACGCCTTTGTTTTGCTGTTGTTAATTAATTAGCAATGAACCGCCGAAAGGAATGCATAGCATGTCAAGTTAACTATGTTTTATTTTAAAGAAAATTCCATTCAGATGTCACAACTGCAGGAGGCAGCATGGAGAAGCCTGCACCCGGCACTGCACTGTGGTGAAACCACGATGAAATTCAGAGCCATGGGACCTGGTGCTACTGATTTGCAGCTAGACACAGGTGTAGTAACAGTCAAAATCAATTAGTTATAGGCTTTGAATTGCCAAGCCTTAAATGCCTTCTGTATTTTTTTTTTTCCTCTTTTAAACAGGCAAAGAATACACTCTTCCTTTGAACCTGGTTCCTGAAACATGTGGCTACTCGATGCGTCAGAATGCACTTGGTCTCGTTTTGGTGGTTCCATATGATGGCTGCAGGGTTCTGCAAGAGGTATTATTGGATTTTTTTTTTTTAATTTTTTTTTTTTTAAATCAGACCTGTTGTTACTTTGAAATTATTAGCATAAATTAAAGGCCAACCTTCAGCTGTAATTCTTTCCTGTTGAGTTCTAGACAGTTGTAATTTTTTTAAAACCTGTCATACTTTAAAGGGTTACCCAGTACATGCTAAGCTTTTGTCAAATCACGTCAGTCATGAGTTAAAATATAACGCTTTCCTCTGTTTCCTATATTTCAGAATGGAAACTATGTGTTGCTACTGAGATGGTTGGATAATACAGTTAAACTCGTCTGTCCCATCTCGCAAAGCCCTGATGAAACACCTGAGTCAATGAAACCTCACCTCCACCTTCCTCCTCAGGAACTTGCTTCCCCTGACAAGCCTTTGACCTCAAACCGCCAAAAACGGCAGCTCACGGAGCCCTTATCAGCTTACGATCCCAATGACCCAAATTATCTATACTGGTATTACTACTATTACTACTACTATTATTATTACTATTATTATTATTTGTATTTGGCCCAAAACTATCCATATTACTATAACTACCCTTATTACTATCCTCTTCCTACCCCTACCTCTGTGCCACCTGTCACTCCAAATACCACTGCCACCCCACCCCCTGCCACCAGTACTACCGCGTCCACAGTAGTCCCGACAGCACCTGGTTTCACTCTCCCTGATGTTCCTGACAACGGGGTCTTCTACTACCTGCCAGTCATCCAGAACTACTACGGAAACACTCCATACCAAACAATGCCGACCCCTACTCCACAGACTACAGAGGGCTACGACTGGACTACGAGTGAACCAGATGCTGCCACCATCACTGTGACCCCTGACCCCACCACACAGACAACTAAAAGATGTACCAAGAAAACAACCAGCGGTACGAGCTATGAAAATCCCAGTCCTTATGTTGAGTACCAAGATAACCCTTTCAGTTCAGTCATTTCTTATGCCCGTAGCAAGGGCGGACCACTTCCAGATTTCCATAGATATATGCCAGAAGCCAGTTACAAATCTGGACTCCATGCTGGAACATATCCTGACTTCAGTGAGTTAGCCGCACCGTGGTTCCCTTACCATACTGGAAATGAAAATATTCCTGCTTGAAGTACTGCAGCCAAAACAAGCATTTTCAGGAGCTGTGCTGTTAAACCAATGGTCAATAAATGTTTTACATGGAATTTGGTGTTTATGCTTTTATCTTGTACTACTTTTTTCTTTTTAAGATTTGGTTAGTTACGTTAAAGAACATCAATTCAATTGTTTCTGCCAAGCCTTCATGTATGTGTGGGCCATTCCAATGTTTTCACTTCTACCAAAATGTTGGTAAAAGTGACTACAATTTAATACGTTAAAACATTCTCTACAGTGAGTCATTGCACAAGTTTAGCATTGCATATATTTAGCCAATGTTATGTTTAGGAATGTTATGTTTTTCCCTCTTCTTTACTTGGTCAATGGAGGGCAGGTTCAGACCAGTGATTCTTTCTGCAGTCCTTATTCTGATTTAGGTGGTAACACCTGAGCACCCTGGGACAGACTAAGGAGATGCTTCCTGTCATGTGATAGAGCTGACGTAAGTTGACTCACTTTTGTTTGATTTAGGGGTGTAATTCCTGCACACTATACCTTTTGTCAGTTTATACTGAAATTCACATTCTGTTCAAATGACAACAGAAGCACCTTGAACACAGCTGCTGCGGTTCGTTTCATTTTTAGATCTATCCTCTTTAAATATCACCACTGCCTTTGGCCCCGTTCCCAGACGGAAGACTGTGCCCCTCCCCCAGATGTGACATTTGCCCCACCCTCTCTAAACAATTTGTCTTCATGGAGGAATATGATGTGGACATGGATGAGGAAGAGGAGGGAGAAGTGTTTATCCAAAAGGCCACGCTGGGCCACTGGTGGGAGGACCACTGTGGAGATGATGGCCACTGTGACACATCACAACATGGAGGAGGAGGAGGAGGAGGAGGAGGGGAAGGAGAAAAAGGCTGCATGGTAAACAGCCGCAGCTGGACTGAGCAGCTCCAGGGAATCTTTGCACCACAGACTGTGGACTGTTACAGTGGAGAGCGAAACAGAGTCTCAAGCATCTCTGTAAGTCAATTTCTCCCTTTCTTGTATGAGCTACAAAAGCAGTAGAGACAACACGGATCCATGCTGTAGCTGTGACCATATCAGATAAAGTCAATCACCACAGGATATGTGGACAGTAGAGAACTGTCCACATATTCTGAAATGATTCTTCTTTATACTGTATGATACAGTACGTGTGGATGAGATGTGATACAAACACAAGGCCGCCCCGAGAGAAGTGTTCGTCTTTTTGTCAGACACGGTGTATTTGGCCTTGGATGATGATGAAGGGTGAAAGATGAGTAAATGACTAACTCTCATGGTAACACAGCTCTGTAGGAATCCGCTGCCAGCGTTAGTGTGCATGTGGCGTGTATTTATGTTGTTGTACGCACGTGTGGGCATGTGGATTAGGCTCCTCCTTGTTTCGCCTTCGGTTCAGCGCACTCAATTGTCTAATGTGGAGTCAGGGGTGAGGACGTTCTCGTGGGAGACAAAACAAATGGATAACGTGTGATTAAAAATTCCCTGCTTTGTTCTTTGGTGACGCAGATGTCACACTAGACAAGCCCCTAAGTGTAAGTGGTGTTGGTGGAGCTTTCCATGATCAGGGCTTTGGCCTCTTTATTTTGATGCAGTCTCATCTGTCTGTCTGTCTGTCTGTCTGTTTGTCTGTTTGTCTACCTACGTGAGTGGTCGCCAGTATGTAAGCATGTAAAGAAGATGGAGGAACAGATGACAGATAAGGCAGCCACGGCAGTACTGAGCAGCTCTCTCTCTCCCTCTCCCCCTCTCACTACTGCCATCATCTTTCTCTCCTCCACTTCCTTATCTGTCCCCTCTTTCCTTTCATGATCCCACCTCATCATCATCATCCCTCTCCCTCGTTCTATTTCTCACTCTGTCTTTCTCTCTCACTGCCCCTCTTCCTCCCTTTTCCGTCCCTCCCTCCCTTCCTCTTCTGCGTGAAGCTGCAGTAAATGTGAGGGTCTCCTGGGTCTGGCTTCACTGCAGTGTAGAGAAGAGAACGCCGTCTGTTTTAGTAGGATGCGCTGAAGGATGGTGCACCAGGAGAAACGCATCTACCAGGTGTGTGGATTTTTTGATGTGCTATGTGTGGAGTGTGGCTTTTAAAAAAAGAATTACATGTAATGATGATAATAATCTACAGGTAAGGCTGAGTGTATACGTGATGGGTGTGCTACTGTAGTGGAATCAGCCATACTGGATGCACAGACGTGAAGGCAGTGGGTGTGTTCTCCTGTGATGTTCGACTGCCTTGATCAGGAAATATTCCACTCCACTGTGATCAGATGGGACTTTTCAAAAATGTACAGTTTGTAGAATGACTTGAATTATTTTTTGTCTAATGATATAACAATAGGTTACAGTATGTGTGTCCACGAGCATGTGTGTGTGTGCAGCCGGTCTGTAGGTAGGAAGGACAAATGTGCGTCTGAGGTTAGATAAGAACAGGCTGAAAGCCTCGACTGGGGCAAAAGGTAAATAAGTATGAACAATGTCTTCACCTCAAAGCATCATGTAGCGATGAGTCACAGTGTGTCTGCATGTTTGTGTGACGGGGGGGTGACCAGACAGATTTATTTTGGTGTCATTGTCGATCGGCTCAGGTTTGGATTACACAGGCCGACAAATGTAGAGATTTGGCACAGATCCCACCAGACAACATTATTATTATTATTAAAGATAAAATGATTTTCCGTGCCACCTCACCCAGTTACTCTATGATATTAGTATTAACTAATCATACTTCACTGAAGCTCTGAAGGTCAAATTATCAGAAATCGTATGACTAAATGATGACTCCAAACCAAGATAAATTATGGAACTGATACTGTTTGAAAAAATTACAAAATATTTCAGCATCACGTCAAGACCAGGAAATATCTAGGTCTAGCTAAGATATGAGTCACCTCATACAGTAAATAAGCCGGGTAACGAGGAAAATTATCATCAGCCAGAAAGTCTGCATTTTAAAAACTGTCGGTTACAACCTTTATCTCTGTGGCCTTAACTGTGGCTGATGTACAAAACACAAACGGCTGAAATGAAATTGTCAAATATTTGGCGACAGAGTAATCTGTCATTGAAAAGGATGTAGATTGGTATGGAAACTAAAAACAAATATAAATAGTTACATGATGATGTCTTAGGCAAAGGCTAAACTGTTAGCTGCTAGATGAGTGGTCAAACCCAGAAGGCCATTGGTGTAGGAAATAGGACATTTAAGGAGTAAAACAAACAAACAAAAAAAAATCTATGAGAAGATTAAGTGTTACAAAACAAAACATCCATGTATGTTTCAAGAGTACATGAGAACAAAAGAAAAAAAACTTACTGTCTTATTAAGACAATAAAAACAATATATCTGAATGAATGTTCAATTAAAGATGATACAAGATAAATATGAATAATGGAAAAAGTAGAAGGATCAGTGAGCAATGTCCTGAACTTCTCTTCTCACAGTGAGTAAGAAAACTAGAGCTGCTTTTGTATTAAAAAACCCTTCATATTTCATGTTTTTTTAATAGTTTCAATTGTGGTTAGTGCCGTTGCCTTCCAGAAAGTAGGTCACTGGTTCCTTTCCCAGCTCTGGCATATAAGACCTTCTGTGCAGCATTGAAATTCAACATACACAGGTTGTCTCTGTATCTACTGCTCTGGTCTGTGAGTGTTTGAACTGACCCTGAGAGAAAACGTGGTTCTGAACAGCGTCGTCTACAGACGTGACCCCAATGCACTGATGATGTGTTCGTGGTCTAACCCCATCTGTTTGAATGATGACAGCTCTGCTGTGATCCTCAACAGGATCAAGGAGTGAAAGAAGAGTAAATGGCTTCTGTACATGTTTATTATTTAACACAACAACAGCGGGATTATCTTGAGTAGATTACGGAGCTTTGCTAAAGCCTGATCTTGAACATTTTCTTTCTGTGCAAAGAACGTTTATCCCTCCTTTTTTGGGTTTTCTATTTTCCGTCTTATCCTCCTTTCAGCAGCACATTGACAGCTCAAACTGGAATATCTACACAGTCAGATTAATGATTTTCACCCACTGTTGTTTTTAATTAGACGGAGGTGCTGCTAACAGCATGTTTTATTAATATCCTGTTCATGTATTTTCCTTGCTGTGTGTAACAGGCCCAGAGGAATGAGAGGGAGTCCATCAGGCAGAAACTCGCCCTTGGCAGTTTCTATGACGACGAGCCCGTCATCTACACCAGCTGCAGCAAAAATGGCCCGTCTTCTCAGTGAGTTTTTTTTTTTCTTTCTCCTCCCTTTGAGCGTTGTTCACCTGTTTAATAAAACGGTAGATGCAGTTATCTTTGTTTATTGGTTACTGCTCACAAAGACGGAGTTGTCTACAGCTGGATTCAACCTGTAACATTAGGAGTGATAATGTCACTAAACATGTATTGCACTTGCATTATATTATTGTGATATAATGCATAAATAAATGATGAGCTGATGATGAGCTTTTAGAACCAAAAGGCTTCAATACAGTTTTGCTGCTGACAGCTGGCACTGGAGTTCTAACGTCTACTGGGAATAACCGTCTATTAGATCTAATGAATTATTTCTTATAAGAGGGTCAGAAATGGGTAATTATGAAGAATTGAAACAAAGTTTGTATGATTATGATATTTTTAGATTTCATTTGAATAAAACTGCTTTTTAATCATTTATATTTTTGGATTATCTAGTCCAGGCGTGGACAAACTTTTTGACTCCCAGGCCACAATTGTCCTAAAATTGGACAGGGGCTCACGGACAAATAGATGGAACATTCATATGAACTAAGATAAATGACATGTAAAAGTCATGCATAAAGGCTAAAATGCTAAAATGCTTTTATCATTTTTTACGCCTGCTATTGGGGAAACATGGGTATTGCAGGGAAAAGGCAGACTTATGATAATATTAATAAATTGTACAATTTGGAAAGGTTTTGTTGGCCAAATTAAAAAGCTGAACGGGCCGCATCCGGCCCCCAGGCCTTAGTTTGCGTTATTATTATTATTATTATTATTATTATTATTATTATTATTATTATTATTATTATTATTATTATTATTATTATTGTTCGATCTGCAAAATGAGCTCTCAGAGATAAAAAGCATAATTGCTGTAAAGTGACCTGTCAAACCTGCTGCCAGTTTCTATAGTATGTATAACGTAATCGGGGCCTGTCGCAATTCTAATTTCACTGTCAGTCCTTGTTGTCAATATCATGTGAACAATAATGCTTCTTCATTCTTGATAAGACAAATGCCATTCTTTAAAAGCCAGAAGAGGACGCTGTTCAGTAGCTCGCATCATTTACTGAAAGTGATGAACCTTGACATAAGCAGAATCTGCTTCATTTCACTTCATACGCCAGGCAAAACAAGAAGTAAAAGGTTTCCTGAAAAGCCACAGTCAGAGTCAAAAAGAGTCATGGCATTTGACTGAACAAAAACTGATTTACTGTCAGAAACAGAACAATGTGGGGCAATCAGTCAGTGTTGGTACATGGACAGATGTGGCACAGCACCGAAACTCCAGCCCCGTCAATGAGATCATTTTTGTGAAATATTCTCACTTTCTAATCAAGGGAATGATTGAGTGTGATAAAACCTGAGTTCTACTTAAAAGTCCAAATAATTAAAAAAATAGCAGAGTATTTTTATTATTTAGGATAAAAGTACTATTTATTTTTATATAATCATAAAAAGTAAAGAACAAAGGCACATACTTCTCATGTTATATAGTAAAATTGGGACATCAAATAATTCCCAGATTTTTGTGAATACATTTTCGTGTTCGTAATCCCACAAATGTGTGGTTTTGGATGCACACACCCACACATGTATGCAGCATAAGCCATTGCATTACATCACAAACACGTTGGTTGACCCAGGCCATTACACGGCCTTCATGAATGTCAGTGAGTCTCTACTCTCAGCTCGTACTGACCACTGTTTCAGGAAGTGCTGACTAGTCTGTGAACCAAAGTCTTCAAAAAGAGGAAGTGATGTCTAATATGAATCCAGGGCTTTGATTGGTGAGCGTTTCTTGTGACCTTCTCTTTAGCTAATCTGGCAGCCATTGACCGTCAGCCTGCACTGGAAACTCCAAATGCTGCCCAGTCACTGGTGTCACACTTTGTACATGTTATTGTTTTAATCATATGGAGAAAGAAGTTGTCGGGTTGTTTCAGACTGCTTTGTCTATTTGTCTATTGAAACTGACATTAGGGGGAAAAGAGGAGGGGAAATAAAAACAAGCGAAAGGGACGAAAGGGCAAAAATATGTTTCTAAGTTTCTAAAATCTTGATTTTCTATCTATCTATCTATCTATCTATCTATCTATCTAGTAGGTTAGCAGAGGCTAAAAGTTTAGTCAGGTTTATAATGTGTCCTTGTTAATAACAAACATCAAGTAAAAGGTGGTGCATTATTTGCCTCTCAAACCCACGTAATTTCACACATGGGCTTCAGAACCATTTGTCTGCCCTTCACCCACAATTAATGGTAGTGCAGGGTTTTTCAACCTAGGGGTTGTGACCCCACGTGGGGTCGCTTGGAATTCAAATGGGGTCGGCTGAAATGTCTCGAACAAGGATGGTCAAACGTTATGTCTCACAGGCTTAAATCAGAGAATACAAGAGTAAACATTCATGGATAATTTGGCACATTTGCTGGCATCAACAGAAATGATAGTTGATTTGTTGTTTGTAAGCTGTAGTTTGCTGAGGTCTGATTTATTAACTGATAAAAAAAAATTGAACACTGAGGTGGGGAACCACATTTTTGGCTTGGTGTATTTCTGCCGTGGTACTAATTACCTTTAACTTCTGCTTTCCATGCATTTATTTTTAAATGAATATACGCTATTGTTTATATTAAACCAGTGTTGTTTACCGCATGCAAATATATTACAATCAACCAGTATTTCCCCCTTTTAACCTCAAGAGGTTTCACAGGGACTCAGACATTGTTAAGCACCTCTAAGCAGTGGCCTGAGTTTCCCTCTCTCTGTCTGTTTCCTCTCAGGCGACAGAGCGGCGTAAACCTCCAGGTGTGTTTTGTCAACGACAGCAACAGTGACAAAGACAGTGATGCCGAGGACAGCAGGACAGAGACCAGTCTGGACACACCTCTGTCACCTGTGGTAGGTGGACTTTCCCAGTGGAGCGGTTTTCATTACAAACCATAACTGAGAACCAACATGTGTCACACAATACAAACCCCCTTCACAATACAATCAAACTGGGAAGTGATGTCAAACTTGACATCCAAATTCTCTACAGCTGCATATGAGTTAAAAAGACAAGATATAGTGTATACTTTATTTTATTTATTTTTTTTGCAAATATAAAAAAGACTTTAGATAACCTCCTGTGTTCCCCTCCAGAGCAAACAAAGCTCCTCGTTGTCAGACCGGGACACAGGAGAGGAGGATTCAGACCTGTTAGATGACTGCAGCGGCTTCTGGCAGGTGCAGCGAAGACTGCAGGAGGAAGCCAAGGTGGCGTTGGCACTCGCCCGACCCATGGCTCGAATGCAGGTGGAAGTGGAGCGGCAGATCCAGCTGCACAGACGTTCCCCTGTGGCTGATCTGGTCAGTTGGTCAAAAGGAGGATCACACATTGGGAGAGTTGGGTCTTGAGTTTAACACAGCAATGAAATATCTATACATGAATCTGAATAAAAGTCCAGACAGTAGTAGTTGTTGGGTTTTTGGGATTTTGTTGAGATGGTTTAGGGATTCCCAAATTTCAATTTTATTGACTGGAACTTGATTTAGTTTCATTTCTGATTTGACTCTATTCACTTTTATTTTAGATTATATTCACTAGCACAATATATGGTACAAGTGTATATCCATTGACTGTTATTGTAAAAAATTCAAAAGCATTACGTTTTGAAAAATACTTCATTGTTTTTACAACAACTACCCTTGGTAATGAAGTACCTTGAGGAATACCTTCAGTTACCACAATTACCCAACAGCTACACTTGGATATGTCTGCACTGACTCTTTGCTGTGTTTGTAGTATATAAACAGACATAATTCTGGCCAAGATCTGGATTAAAATCAACTCTTGTTGCTCATATAATGAACAGGGTAACACTGAAGGAAATGCACATTAAACAATAGGTGAATGCATCACGTGCTGTCAAATCACTCATAAATAATTATTCTTATATATCAACAAGAGCAGAAACATTTGATTAGAGATACAGTTTCATACACACTGTAGTCTGGTTTTCAACTCTGTGTGTGTTTTAATGCAGCTTCCCCATCTTCCTCACATAAGTGAAGGTTTGATGAAGAGGAATCTGAGGCAAGGGGACATGAGGGACATGAGTCTGGGGCAGCTCCAGGTTATCACCAACGACTTGCACTCACAGATTCAAAGTAGGTAAAAAGAAACCTGAACATAAACTCACGTTTGAACAGAAAGTGTCTGATTTCTGGTTTTTCCTGGTGGCAGGTTTGAATGAAGAGCTGGTCCAGCTGCTGCTGATGAGGGACGAGCTGCATGTGGAGCAGGACGCCATGTTGGTGGATATAGAAGATCTCACCAGGTGAGAGTCACGCCTCTGTTTGTCCCGAGCGCTCCTTCGACGCTAACTGCTAACTGTGGTGTCTTTTTGTGGTCCTGGTGACAGGCACGCTCACAGCCATCATCGACACCAGGCGGTGAAGGCTGCCTCCAAATAACTGCATCCAGGAGTTTGCGTTCGTCTGCCTGCACATCAGCCGACCTCCTGCTCCACCGACGGTCACCTGTGTTATAATAAAGCTCCATCAGTGCTGTCTCTGAAAAAACAAGTTCAATAGAGAAAAATTAGAATACACATCCATACACATTACGTGTGGCTTCAGGAGTTTGGACACAGCTTGGTTAAGTGGTTAATCTCCATTTACCCTCTGGTTTACCTCTTTATGGTTTTGCACAGTACAGTGAGTATGTTTACAGTGGTTCAAAAGACGTTTTGTGTTTAATCTGTATGTCAAGCACTAGCATCACTTTTTAACACAGGAATCCATCATCCGGGCTGCTGACCATTACACAGCTTAGCTCGTCTGGTCTTGCGAATATTACATATACACAAACCTGGCCGTAAAAGTTTCCGTCCACTTTGAAATGAAGTGCATACGAGGAGTGGTCAAATTTTTAAGAATAATTTATATTTGCCAAAATGTGGTCGTGTATGATACGTCAGACAAAGCGACAGACTGTGGCCTGAAAATTAGGACGGGGTCACACTGAGAGACGACGACGACGAGCAGGCGAGGGGGGTTATGATTCTGTCGGCCATGTTGACCTTGACATAAAATATGCAAAGTGATTTTTTGTCACTTCGAAAGTTAAAGGATAAAAAAAAAAAGTTCAGAGAAATATATTGATAACATGAGAAGAAATACATTTCTATTTTATCTTTTTTGAAAGGGTTTAAATGGTAAATGACTTTATTAGAAAGGGTGACGTGAAGAAGCTGTTGTGTGGCCGCAGTTCGGTGTTTTCACCAAAAGCTTTTGAAGAATGTACGTCATGGGAGAAACTCCTTCAACCTTATCATTTGCTGCATTCTTTAATGTACTGTATAATGAGTGTAAGATATCTGTAATAAATGTTTAAATGGTGTGACGTTCATCAAGTAATGGTCACGAAGCCGTATTTATTTGGCAAAAACAAATAATTTTCTTTGTGAAACATTAGTTATATTTGTCTCACATGGGTTGCAAAGACTCGGTGTGAATTTCCCCTGTTGTGGACAAATAAGGAACTTTTTAAAACCTGTGGACCACATCATTTTATGTGACTTAAAGTGCATATGGTCCTAAAAAAATAAAGACTTTAGTGTAAATCAGGGGTGCTCAAATACAAAAAAAAATAAAGACTTTAGTGTAAATCATGGGTGCTCAAATACAAAAAAACAAAAACATTATAATAACAGCAGATCTGCACTTGGAGACACCAAGTATGTGGTTCCTCTGGGCCTCAACTCCAGGACCTTCTTAAGCTCTAACTCGTTACTAGTTACCCCACTCGGTCTAACCTTGTCTCTGTCAATCCATTTTTCTGTCAGCCAGGTCTAAATGTGTCCTAATCAAAAAAGCTGAATGAAGTGGCACTTCCTTTTTGCAAAGTTAAAAAAAAGATTCAAGTCACTTGAGAAGAAAGTGAGTGAGAGTCGGGCTGCTATTGCTGGATGACGCTCATGTAAAGTACAGTGTTCCATATTAAATTACTGTGCAGTTTCTCTGCTCTTTCACACGTCCCATGGTTGATACCTATGTAATATTCGCTGTAAAAATGCAAATCCAAAAAGCAGTCACATAATCAGATCTGAGAAATGAAATGGCAGTCCCGGCTGTGGGGGGAAAAAAAAGTAACCTCAGTCACNTATATATATACAGTATATATGTAAATAAAAAAGTATATAATTTTTAATAAAATATAATATATGTGTGTAATATATGTGCTATTAAAAACAAATGTAAATCATTTGTATATAAAGTTAATTTCCCACACATTTAAAAGGCAATAATCAGTTTCATGAAAATGTTTTATTTTTTAAACAGTCAAATAATATTCTATCATCATATTTTAATGGTAAAATAAAAATCCACTGGTGAATTGAGATTTGACCAATTCTAGGAACTGTCAGATTTTTTGTTTTGTTTCCTGGAAATATAAAGTATTTGTGATTTATGTCCCCCTGATAACAGTGATACTTTTCCCCTAAACAAATGTCAACAATGAGCACACTGTTAGCCACCTCATGGTCAACGCGAAGCCTCCCATGTCAGTGGTAATTTCAGTTTCACCCAAGCTCTAAGTGATTTGAATTGTTGGAAAAGGAAATAACCAAGTTGGGTTTTACACTTTCAATTTTCTTTTAGGTGTCAACATGATGCACGGCTGAGTATATAACACAAGAATGTCTGGGTCTGGACAGAATCAGTCAGAAACCAGCTTCAACAGTCCACCATGAAGATGTCGCTCCTCAAGCTTTGTGAGTAAAACATGCATTGACTTCAGTTCATTTCTTTGCAGTTCAACACTGACTTGACTTTGTTTGTGTCAGGCTTCACCCCAGCCCTGCTGCTCCTGGGGCTCAGCTGTTCTCTGTGGCAGATCAGCCAAGCTCTGCCCATGAAGACCACGGCACGGGTCACAGACTCCTGCGTCCTACACGCACACACACTCCTACAGAACATCAGTGGAGCTCTCACACAGGTGGGTCTGAAGGAACACTTTCACACTCATCACCTTGAATATGATATGACATACGACTCACGACAAATGTGTTTTATTCTGCTTTGTTTTTAACAGAACAAGCTGTTCAGTGGGATTGACTGTTCGAAGCAGAGCGTGGAGCTGAACTCAGAGACAAACACGACCTTTGATTGTACACCTACGGTAAAAATTAAAATTAAATAAATAAATAAATAATCTTACATCTGGGCAGAAAAACAATTGTTTTTATTTTATAATTTTATTTAAATGAAATCAAAATATTATAAATATACTGGTGAAAGTTGTTCATCATTATAAGACTATTGTCTCTTGCAGCCTTTTTTTTTTCAAGTTTCCAAGACTGACTTTTAGAGATTCAGTCTTTTTTATGAAGGTTTTTTAAAGTATAATATATCTAATGATGTCTTAAAAAATCTTGATGAAATGTTGTGTCATAAAAAATAATTAAAACCCATGTTTTCACCTCAGGGTCTGACATGCTCAGGAGACACTAAATCCACTTTTGATCAGGTGCGTCAAGTTTTGCTTTTGTGGCTAATATACTTCTATTTTTTATTCCATCATTATATTTTAGATTATTGGAATAAATACATTAATTTATGAATTAAAAAGTATTAATAATAATCTGTGTTCTTCTCTACAGGACTCATGTCTGGACAGCATCGTGAAGGATTTGCACTTCTACTACCAATTTCTCACATCTCACCCAGACCCAGACAGTTTACTTGGACCAACAGTTCTGCTCAGCATCAGAGAATTAGTGAAGGTGAGACATTTCAGAAGGATTAACTCTGTAAAAAACAACAACATTGAAAACAGCATTGTTTTGTGTTCAACATCGAACCTTTGCTCTCGACAGAAATGCTTCACGTGGTCCACCGCAGACTTTGCCTTAACGCAGGTAAAACTAATAAAGTGTGGTGTAATCTATTATGGGTGGGATTTTGACGATGTTTATTTTTGTACTTATATCTACAAACATATATCAAAATATCTCAAATCTATTCAGTATAAGACAGATGTTTGACTCTCAACATGGTTTGCTCTCATGTTAAAGGCGGTTGAGGACCATTCCACTACATTTGACCAAAGACTGCGTCTCTGTAAAGTGCTGAGGGGCTTCCAGATCCGGACCATCACCATCAACAGAGCCATAGGATACATGCACGCCGAGGAGAACCAGAAACCAGTTCTTCAATAATTCCAGGAATGTAAATCCTGCTCTAACTACTGAAGTGACAGACGACACTTCAGTCTTCATTTTCCTTTAATTTTCTTAAAGGTAGAAACTTTTATTTAACATTGGTAGAATGTTTTAAATTACTTTTTCTTAAAGTGTTTTAATATGTAGTGTTTCACTTATTTATATTATTTATTATTTTGTTTATTTATTATATATTATTTATCTTCTATTTATTGTTATTATTCTAATCAGCAAATAAATATTTTCTTGCATTTAAACTTTTGATCCATTATTCTTTTAATCCTGTTTTTTCTTTTTTTTTAGTTTAGTTAGTTTAGTTCGAGTTTAGGTTAGATTAGATTAGATTAGAATAAACTGTAAAATAAAACAGAGACAATGAACAAAGATGCGTTCAATGTCATATGAATTTTAACTTCAAGTATCTGCAAATACTTGAAGTTATTAAAGCTATTTACTTTAATATTTTTTGTAAAAAAAACTTTAAGCTACAGTATGTTTCTCGAAATATAATATACTGTATGAGTGGCTGGCTATAATTGAAGCACGCTGTCTTACTGCCACCTAGTGGACACAAATGGTCATAACATATGTTGTAATGTTGTTTAAAGTTTATAGAAAAAACCAAGTGGACACAAATGGTCATAACATATGTAGGTTTTACAACCACAATGTTGTAATGTTGTTTAAAGTTTATAAAAAAAACCCAAAACAAACAAACACTCGATTTGTGACATTGAGCGTAAATGTTCCATTATAAGACCTCACTGTTCACAGTTGTGTGACATCAGTGAAAACAATCACACCGCCGCCGCAGGTGTGTAAAGCAGCGTCAATCACTTACACCTGTGCTGATGTCGTCAGAGGTTCTCCTACAGCTGAACGTCAGACCCAGAGGATGGAGGTGAGGCCGCAGAGAATCTTTTCTTGGTGGATTATCTTTATTATCTACCTTCACGCGCTCGCAGAAGTTCGGTTAGTTAAAAGTCAAAACTCCAGGTCAGAAAACGGCCGCAAACCGACCAGAACTCAGAACTACATCCGGTTCCAAGAATCCACCGTCTCCAAACAGCTGCAAAGCGCGGAGTTGAGCACTCGCCTCAGGCCCATCACGGTCAAATGTCATCCGGACTCTCTAGAGGTGGTGGTTCAGGCTGACCTGTTTGAGACGGGTATTCAAATAGATGGTCAACATCTGCGTCTGGGTCTGGGTCTGGGTCTGGGTCTGGACCCAGTGTCTGGGAGTAGTAGTTGTACAGCAGTTCCATCAGGAGAGGCTGAATTCACCATCCGGGCCAGGCTGACGGACTGTGGAACCAAACTCTCAGTAAGTAGATGGTTAAGAAGAGGAATCTGCATTTACAGCATTTAACAGGAACACTAGAAAATAGACTCAGAAATAGTAAACACAAATGCCTTGTATTAAATTGTATGGAATAAATGTTTTTTTTTTTAGTCCACCAAAGAGAAGATTATCTACTCTACTGTTCTGATCTACTCACCTGAATCTTCTTCTAATCATTTACAAAGACTGGATGCAGCAACAATTCCAGTTGAATGCCATTATGACAGGTGAGTACATGAACACAGCTGTAATGATTTTATTTTATTTTGTTATTGTAATCAATAATCACCTAAAATCCTGTCATGGCCTTTGTTTTATTCTCAGGAAATATTCTGTGGATAGTTTTTCTCTGCAGCCCACCTGGGTTCCTCTCGTCTCCATGACAACAGCAGAGAACCGTCTGTATTTCACACTCAAACTCATGACCGGTACTTTAGTTGTTTTGTTTTTGGTCATTTTCTCTTTAACGGCTTCTTTTTCAACTGTTTTTGAAGAAATCTTTTATCATTGCAGACGACTGGCAGTTTGAGAGAACGCCGCCCTTTTATTTTCTGGGTGACACCGTTAACTTCGAAGTCTCTGCCATTGTTGACCACTACGCCCCTCTACGTGTCTTCGTTGACCGTTGCACAGCTACGTCTGCTGCTGATACGAAAGACAACGCAAAATATGACTTTATTGAACATGGGTAACGACCGCAACAAATTCTCAAAATGGTTCAGTCAGTGCTGAAGAATATACCACCAACTGTCTCCTCCTCTGACAGTTGTCTCACTGATGCCTACCTGACAAACTCCAACTCCCACTTTAAGCCCAGAGTCAAGCAGCACAAGCTGAGGTTCCAGATGGATGCATTCAAGTTTCACCAGCAGCCTACACGTGAGGTTGGGCCTCTATTTCATTTATTTTTTGTACAATCTGTATTATAGTTGAGGTATTTCTCTCAGGACACAAATTGACCACATTTCACTGTAACGTCTCATCTGTAGATTTATATAAACTGCTACGTTAAGGCTGTTCCTGCCTCAACAATCAACTCACAGAACAGGGCTTGTTCCTATTTGGAGAAAAGGTAGTGTAACCATGGTGATGAAACAAGTTTACAGTCTGCTACTGAGTTAGTTTTGTGTTCTTAGAAATGTTGCTTACATGTACAGTTGTGATCCAAAATCCTTTGTTCTCCTGCAGATGGTGGTCAGTTGATGGGAACGACCAGGCGTGCAGAAGCTGTGATGTCTCCTATCAGTCGAAGGAGCCGAAACCGACACACAACCCCATGTCTGTCGTCAGCACCACAGCTTGGTCTGCTGTAGTTACAGGACAAACCTTAATAAAGACCGGACCTGATCCTCCTTCTGTCAGTTACATCCGCTTCCGTCCAGGAATGCAACAGAGCCAGAACAGCATCCGTCATCAGTCGTCCGGTGGAGTAATGAAGAGGAGCGCAGACGACACAACAGGTGAATCAATATTGTTACATGAGCTGAAGTGTGTTAATGAATTTCGATTAATTACATGAATTACCTGTGAATCCTTACAGCTTTATTGCTAAGGATAGGATACATCCCATTTACCATGTTGGATTAAATATGAAGTGAATGTGTGAGCAGGGTTCTTTTCAGCAGGCGTCAATGCTGCCACATGAACTTGGTGCACGTCGAAGAGAGTCAGAAGACTGTGAGAGTGTCTCTGTTTTATTATTAACAGTTAATTTAAAATGTCAGTCTGATGAAAGGGTCGTTCAGCACAACTTAAAATATGAAATGCTTATTGATGAAAATGCAAGGTCACGGGTGTCAAACTCATTTTCACCGGGGGCAACATCAGCAGTACAGTTCCTCTGTATAGATCAGTGGTCCCCAACCCCCGGTTCACACACCGGTACCAGTCCATAAGTATAGATGCAATTACTCCATAACAGACTCATACATGCTTCTACAATTTATACAAATATTGTTCATTGCTGTGTAGTATGAAAAAAAAATGTTCTCAGGTTAAAAAACTCTGCAGCATGGACTTTAATAAATGCTTTTTAAGCTCCTGCGGGCCACACAAAATGATTTGGCGGGTAGCATTTGGCCCCCGGGCCTTGAGTTTGACATGTGTGTGTGTGTTACTGTACAATAACAATGTATCTCAGTCAACAAGCATTGCAATATTATTTTAAGTCCAGCTGCTGTTGAATATATACAGTGTTTGACAAGTGACTAAGTTACTATTTAACCGTGTTGTACTTTGTTTTAATTAGACCAATTGTGATTTACTTTCCAGTGAAAACTGAACGACTGGGACCTCTCACTGCACTAACATCCAGCAAGGTTGAACCAAGGACAGTAGGTTCCAGAAGTGTGCTTCAACTGAAGAAGACCAGCTAAAAGTCTGTATCCCACATTATAAACTGATTTAAAACCAACATTGATTTGGCACAAACAAAACACTTTTCTTTCGGTTTGTCAGTGTTTTGTTACAGTTGTATCTCAGTGAAAACAAAATCAAATGCATGTCTCTGTTTTCCTGTTTTCTACTGAGGTTTGTGATTCCTATCTCAGTCATGTGATATCTGATATTTACAAAATCCAACATCCTGTAGTTGTAGGGCGAGGAACCTGATTATGGCTTTAGCAAACAATTTAATTAGGATTGGATTTTAAGCACTCAGACTCATTAGGGTCTAGGCATCAGAAGTGGAAGCCAATTGGATGCTTTTGGTTAAAACACACAAATGCTCAATCCTTCCTTTTGACTTTCAACATACATATTCATCAGAAACCAGGCTGGTCGTTTGAACCAAGGAGAAGAGCAGACTATTGCTATTACGGAGCACTTCCCTCCATTACCACCCACAACCTACTCATCATATAGTCATATAATTGATTAATCATTGTGAGGCTGTATAATGGAATAAAAAGGATAGCCTTTACTGCCACTTCCAGCAGAATGAGTTGCAGTTCTCTGTGAATTATGACCAAAAAACTGTATGTAAGCTTTTCATTCAATTCAAAAAATTGCATTTTTTGTTCTATTACAATCTAGTGATCATACAGAGTGTGTCTGCTGTTTTGTGTGGTGTTTCAGTGCTGAGCCTTCCATGTAGAGTTTTAGACAAAAGTCCATGGTGACAGCAGGGAAAGCACTTTGCACTTAGCCTTGTACATAGGCTCCTAATCAGCTGAAATGGACGCACACTGAGGCCTTGGAAGCTTTTAAGAGATGACATGACTTGACCTCTGAATGTACACGCAGTATTAATATTGCAGATGGAAATGGATCCCTGTGCTGCTGCCAACTACAACATTTTTAGGATATTTACATTTAGTCGTGTCAGCACCCTGGACAGCGTCTCTAGTTGGTCTGAGCGCTGTCCGTGGTCAGGAAACGACAACATCTGTGTCTCTTAATTTATACTTCACCAGGGATTTCTCTGTCCATCTGACGGGACAAATTGATTTTCTTGACGCGGTTTTATCTTCATTTCAAACAACTAGCCGTTCCCTTTTTTTTTTTTAATGTGTTTGATTTCACTTTACAGCATCAATATGCGTAATTGCGGTGTGATTTCCTGTGTAAATACAGTGGAAAAGCACTAGTTTTTTTAAATTATTTCATGGATGAGGATTTCTTGACATCAGTACATTTGTTCAGTATATACCGTGCACTCGGGATGCCTCTGCGTCAGCCTTTTGACCAAGGAATCCCTCAGACTCTAATCCCCCAGTGAGTTGTCTCGCCCGCATCCTGTTTGTCAAACAGCTCCATTTTTCCTCCTCGTTTTTAACAGGATGGACGCGTTTCTCCATAGATGGCACTTGTTGGGAATTTTCTTGCTGTGCTTTCTTAACCGTTCAGTTGTTTTTTCCATCCAAAAATGTGGACGGGACCTCTGCCGCGACGATCAGGTCTGCTGCGCGTCAGGGAACGACACCGTGGTCACCTGTTGCAGACAATTTGTGGACAAGACTTACTATAACATCGCCATGGTTACCCGCAAACTTTCAGGGGTTCTGATTATGCTGCTACTGTTTGCTGTCGGTTACTTTGTGCAGAGGATGTTATGCTCCAGGTCCAGACCGCTCACACCGCCGCAAAACGGACACCCGACCGTGACCACTTCACAGGATCCACTGGTGGACATCTGCACGCCGGACAGTTTGGTGGACTCGGTCCCGGCCGCTCAGTTGCCCACGTACGAGGAATGTAAACGTCTGCCGACGTACGAAGAGACGATTCGGGATGGATGTGCAGCACGGGCGGGGACGTCAAGTGAACTGGCGTCATGATAGATACCCGCTCTGTTATAGTCATTACGGTGGAAGCAGCGTGGAAATCGATGGTTTTATAGAATCACCACCCAGACCTTTGCCCTGTCGCTCATCTTCTGAACCATATATTGAATCGTATAGTCTATAACTCAGTCGTTTGTTTTTCTGTACCAAAATAGAGCCCGTGACAATGGCTGTGCGTTTTATAAGGCTGCAAAGTAATACATTCGTTTGACATTTGAGTATCATATCAAAAAGTCCTCGATAAAGTAAACAGATTGTACTCTGAAGTCCATCAGGGGTGTGTACAGTGGAGATATGACAGGTTTAGTGATGATGAGATTAAAATACTTAGTTCAATGATGGAATGCTCAACGTGTTTTAAACTATTTACCCTTACCGTGTTGTGTTGTGAAGATGCCTGCATCTGTGCAGAGCTCACTATAAATAATACTAACGTTTTGTCAGTAGTTCAAGAGCCGTTATGGTTCCACTGTTATAGTTGGGCTGTGGATGCTGAACACCTGTTTCTGGGCCATAGAAAGGATAGAGATCTCGTTAATAAAACTTATTGTTTGCTGTTGGATCTCAAATATTGCACTGTTTCCTTGATGTTGTCCTTCATCGCCCCAGGATCTGAGGGCAGTTTGACCATTTGCACCAACCGATTGAAAGCCTCCTCCACTCCGAACCCCGTGGATCCGGAACAAGGTTGGACGTACCAGTCCCGGCCTGTGCAGAGCTTTCTCAGGTGAAACCTGTCCTTGATGTCGGTGGCCGTCAGAGCTCCGTTCTTGTCCTGCTTGTTGGCCAGAACCATCAGCGGCCGACCGGACAGCAGGTCGCTCTTCAACGTTTTCTCCAGCTCTCTCCTCGCCTCCTCCAGACGCTCCATGTCGGCGCTGTCCACCACAAACACCACCGCGCCTGCGTCCTGGTGAAAATTCGGCCAGTGTTCGCGCATCCTTCCCTGGCCACCGACGTCCCACATCGTCAGGGCGATGTTCTTTCTGTTCTTTTTGGTCTCAATCATTTCCACGTTGAAGCCAATGGTGGGGACTGTGTTGACACACGCCTTGTGCTTCAGTTTGTAAAGAAGGGTCGATTTTCCAGCGTTGTCCAAACCCAGGAGAAGAACATTGACTTCAGGCAGTTTAGACCCTCGGAGACCCATAGTGGGATTCAAACCGTCAGCTTCTGTAGGGAAGTTAAATGTTCCTCTCGCTGCATAGACAGACTTCTGCTTTTCATGTAGCGTTTGCTCAGTGCGACAGCGGAAGTTTAATGGATAAACCATTAGCTCGCAGATAAGGAGCCCTCAGGCCCAGAGGGCAAAGTCTGCACCTCGGCTTTATCCATCATTTCTGATATTGTTATTGTAAAACGACTGTTGACCATTCCTGTTTAATAAAGGGCGTGTTTCTATTATGGAATGATTTGTAATCCGGTGACTGACTCATAAACATTTAGGAGCAGGGAAGACCTTAAACATACATTGTTCAGCACCTGTGCAGAACAAGCCATTCAGTTTTCCTGAAAGATGCACTAAACTTTTGCAAGTGTCATATAAATATATATATAACCATATTTATAATAAATCAGTTTGATATAGTCACTGTTGCTTCATTTCAGGTTTAATTTTAGTGCAGTAATAAAAACAGTCCTGAACTTACATCTATGTCATCATTAGAGTAGCATTCTGGCTTCTGAAATAAAGAAAGTGAGTATTCTTACCTAAGTACTAAGTAAGTATTCTTTTAAGTACAGAGTTCTGTATACTCATGAGAAACCACTGATAGAAAAACACATTTGTGACAGTTAGCACTTATCAGTTATTACATCTCTCACCAAAATTACATAACTATAAATTCAAGTAGTCACAAACAACTCAATAGGCCTGAATTTTTGAAAAATAAATGAAAACAGTAATCTTTAACTCAGTGCCTCATTAGTTTGGTAATAACATGACAAAGTCAAATAAAACCGGAGGAAAATAAATAAATGTTGGGCCCCCACCACAGAGGGCAGCAGCTCACTCAGTTGACAGAGTGCAGTGGAGTACAAACCTGGTTGATTAATGGCAGACCTGCGCCCACTCCCCCCACGATGGCCCACATTCCACACTCTCTGAGTTCCTGTTTTATTTGAGTTTTATAAAAAAAAGTAAATAACACATAAAAGCATGCTTCAGCCAAGACGTGCGCATGACGCAGGTCACGTCCAGGCGACAGCTCTGCTCGTGTTAATCTAACGCAAGTGTTCCAGTAATGCACCGTTTAGACCAAGTCTTTAGTCCAGGTGGTTAAACAAGAATAAATAAAAACCTCCTCCTCTCTTGTTTTAGGCGCAGGAACCCGAACCACAGGCTGCATCCTACACAGGGAGGATGGCTCTGAGCTGAAGGAAGGTCACTGCATCCAGCCTGGAAGACACTGGTTCAATTCCATGGATACATTCCTTTGGATTTCAACTTTTTCTCTTTCTGCTTCTTTGTCAGGATCTGGTCCAATTCTCTTCCGGCTTCACCCACACGCCCCCGGTGGGGTTATCCATCACGTACACCAGTCCCCTGCTGCTGTCACAGCTGCTGTGGAGCCAGGACTGCGATGTTGACTTCTGCATTTGCCGGGGTGAGGAGCGGTCACAGGCCTGGCTGCTCACCTTCTTCTGTATGTTGACAGTAGGACCACCAGCCTCGCCCCTCAGGTTCGTCTCCTCTTCTCCTGTGTTTTGGAAAATTACTCTTGCCTCCATGGAGGATTTAGTTCCTTGTTGTCCCATTCTGCAAACAAATCAAAAACTCCCAATGTTGTTGACTTGGTTTAATAGCTCCGTCCACTGGTGCTTGCGCGTACTTGCCACACTTATAAAGAGCCAAGGCCTAGTAAAACCGGGTCAGTAGTTCCAGTAAAGCCGTTGCGTGACGTACTTCACTAGATGGCTACGTTGCAACACTTTCCCCGACGCGTTCGTTCGGATCGGTTCGAGTCCGAGCTATTCTGAGTTGGTGCACCTGGTACAGAGCGTCACTCCACTTGGCACCAGCGCGCGCCTCCGCGCTGCGCTTCTGCGGCGCACTGTTTTGCACAGAGAGCTATTTGTGGTCCTTCAGAGGCCTCACAGAGACGCTCCGGGGGAGTCACGTGTTTTCTCCAAAGTTATTCTGATCTCACTCACCGCCTATTTGTGGTGATCTGTCTGTCCTCTCAGAAATTCACGACTCCAAAGTTATTCCAGACACTCAAAAGGGGGTTTTGGAAAAGTTTTTTTCTCTACAACAACATGCCCATAAATAATGGTTACGTTTCTAAGCTTGAATCTGTACTTTTGTTATGCTCAACACTGGTTCATGCCCATATTTAAAATCTGTGCAAACCTTATACTTTATATTACACCTTTTTATAATGTAATTTACCACCTGGGTTAATGACAGAATACACTTCAAATGAAATTGATGGAAATCCAATATTTTATTGCAAATTTCCGCATATCTACAGAAGGCAAACATAATACTGAATTAAAATGTAAAACACACCCAGAATCTCGTTAATAAATAAGGCATAGAACTGTTAAATAAAATTCTTTCAAATGATAAAAAAAAGACATGTTGCCCAGAGGCGAAAGTTTAGAACGTGGTAGTAAATCAACAATGGCTTAACTGTAACTTTGCGTGATGGTATTGCTTCAGTTCAGGAACATATCATATTTCTGATTGCGTGCATTCTGGCTGCTGCTGGGCAGCTCGTGATGTGTCATCTTTTAGTCATTTTGCAGCAGCAGAGCCATGGTCTGACTCATGAGATTCCCAGGTCAAAGCTCGTCTCCAATGTCGCATAATATGCATATTTGATTGTGAATATAAATAAGCCAAAGCACATGCCCTGATATACTGTAGATGGTGGAAAGAAATACTTCACATAGGCCCATACTGGTAACTAGGTCCTTTTCTATACAGTAAAACACTTCTTTGATGAGGAAACCCATATTTACATTGGTTGATATGCAAAAAGAATACACACCTCAAAAAAAAAAAAAAAAAAAAAAAAAAAAAAAAAAAACGGAAGTGTTTTTTTTTTTAAATAACTCTGCATGTGTGGTTAGCTTTCAGGTTTTTTTCAGACCCAAATGTTGAATTTATGGATCATTCTTTTTTTTTTTTTTTTTTTTTTTTTTGAAGCACCAACAGTCATTTGGTTCAAACTAAGATTGCTTAAAAACAGGCGCAGTTTCTACTTTTTCTCTCCTTTTTGTTTTCTTATCATGCGTTAAAACAATGAAACATCATTACCCCTGTCTTTTTTTAAATGTATCAATAACCTGATTCACCATGTAAAATGTACATGGTCTGACCCACATGATCATAATCTACTTACTTTAAGAGTTGTTGATCCTAAATAATAAATGTTTATCTAGACATAGTCCTGAAAGCAGGCAGGAAAAATGCAAATGTTTTTGGACATAATATCATAAAAATGGAGGTCTGAGGTAAACGTGGGCTATTTTTTTTTCAATAGGAAATGACATAGGTAATGTAAGTTACATGAAGTATAGTGAATTAATAAAATAACAGTGTGAATAGCAACTGTAATTGCCTGACAGTTTGTTTTCTCTATGGTCTTTTTAGCCAGTGGTGAAACTAGCGAATGCCGTCTTAATCTTATCAGGAAAATCAGAGTTTGTTGATGTAATAAAGTAAATGAGAGTGAAGTAACTTTCCCAGTAACTTTTCTTCCAAGCACACTTTTATCCTGTTAGTTTGTTCTGTGGCCTTGAGACTTTGTCCAGCTTTTATACAGTCAGTGGTTCTAGTCAGCTGTCAAACTGGGTCAGATTCCACCGGGGCAGCAGCTGGTCAACCACAGTCACCATTCAGCTCTATATCTGGTCTTCCCATTTTTTATTTCCAGCTGGAATAATAATAAAACAAAACTCTGACTAAGTCTGCCAAAAGGATGAGGATGCTAATTCGAAGGGCTTAGTTTTGAATGACATTAATGAACCAAATGTTAAAACACAAGCCTTTGCTTGAGTCTATTTTTCTGATTGTGACAAACTCTTCAACAATAAGATTCATCCCACACATTAGAACGATGTCGTGGTCAGACTCAGTGTCGTCCTAATAATAGGATCCATTTATAGGCACTGGTTGAAGCTTCTTTTGAAGAGGCCTTCTGTGGAGCCGTACCATTCATGTGCATGTACAGTAAACAGTAGGAGATCAATCACAGTCTTAAGTGTGCTGGTTAAGAGCAGCCCGTTTGGTATCTGATACGGTTGGACGACATCTGTGTCTGGATGTATTCATCAACAGATGGTTATTGGTTCTACGTCGGAAATAAGTACATGCCCTTAACTAACTCATGACCCCAAAAACAAATATGATATATGGTATGTGATCGTATGTTCCTACATCTGTCACCAGTGCAGTTTTCATTGTCAATACTTCATATCCACTAAGTCTTCATTCAATGCAGTACATGCTCCATCGTCATTAGATAAGGAGACTTAGAGAAAACCTTCAACACCACGCCGGCTCTAAAAACCTCCCACTCTCCTCATTTACCACTTCCCCCGGCTCCACTTTTAAATTTCACCACCATTACAGTAATATTGTCTGGGCAGCCTCGGTAGAAGGACTGTAGGACAATGCTCTTGGCTCCAAAGTGAGGCTCATCTAGACGCTCACGGACAAATCGCACGGCCTCCTCGTTGCTGAAGGCGTCCCACAGGCCATCAGATGCCAGGATCATGAATTCTGGCTGCAGTTTGTCCAAGTCAAAGGTCATGATATCAGGGTCGGGTATGACAACGTTTAGGTTTTTCAGTGGGTAGTCGCCCAGGGAGCGGGACATGGCCAGGATTCCCTGTACCCTCCAAGAGCCATTGAAACTGATGAAACCTCCTGCAAATGATGAAAGGATGACGTAGTTAGACAACGACAATGCTAAGAGCTGCAAAATGTTTATTTATGAGTTTAACAGGAAGTCACCCATATGAGGTGAGCAGCTAATTGTTGTGCTAAGATGACGTTTCTACTTCTGTCCCTTTTGTCTATCACGGTGAAGTTCCTATATAGGCCAACAGATGGCAACCTCTGATCCCAAGTCGAACCTAAGGGAAGCATATAGCAGGTGCATGCTGCAGCTGCGGCCTGATTCAGGGACTGCAGCCTACGTCACTTGTATTAGAAGCCAAAATGCACAAACTTAGTCAACTTTTGACCTGCAGCGTAGGCAACAACATTTGCTATGCTATGCATAATTGCAGAACTCAAAATGTATTGTGCACTCACAGTTAAAATGCCTGACACAGGTGTAAGGCACCAGAAGAACACATGTAATGACATCATAGCTTTTTATCTATTTCCATTTTTCAAAGTAACATCTATATTCACCTGTGCTCTTAGAAGAACACATGTAATGACATCATAGCATTTTATCTATTTTCTAACAATAATTAACAATTCACTAAAATAAGGTGGCACACCTGCTCTCTTGATCCTTTTGCGTTCTTTGAGCTGATATGGTTTATGATCATGTGACAGTGCCACTGCGTTTCCATCCTTGTCACATAGCACGCCACGAGAGTCTCCAACGTTTGCCACCGTGAGCTCTCTGTCTGAGAGCAGTGCTACAAGACAGGTCGTTCCTGCAGAAGAAAAATAGGGAGTGGATGATTCATACTTTATACTCAAGTGGTCTCTGTGGGCTGAATATTTGTCTGGGGTTAAACAGTGCAGTTCTATTTAATGACAGCCTTGGGACGTTAGTTCACTTCAGTCAGGGTGAGGCTCAGAGCCATTAGGGTCACTCTGTATGGTTATACTGTATGTTATTCCTACTTTTGTGGAACTTAATTGGGACGCTTTGTCGCATTCAACAGTCAATAACCCTTGGGGGGAAGCTTTGTGTTTGATGTCACAAACTCGTCCTTTATTAGTTTGCTGTTCCTAAATCACAAAGAAACAATTTGCATAAGAATGTGTTGAGGAATAAACGAAACACTACACCACGGTGCCTCGCTGCCTCACTTGGCTGAAAGAGCTGAAGTTGTGACAGTGATAAATGCACCTCCACTTCTACAGGCTGCTTTGTCGGAGTGCAAGCAGAAAGCCCATTACTTTATGATTGCTAATTTTAAATCCAATACAGCAGCTTGTCAAACCATTATGAATGCTGTGCTTACAGTGTGGTGAGCAGAAAATTACAAAAAAGGCAATTGAAGTCCAACAATTAAAGTGTTTACAACTACAATGCAGTGGATCTTTTTAAACTTGGATTTAGATATAAACTTGATGGTCGTTCCACTTTTGTCGCTTGTTACCTTAGTATAAGCAAAATATAAAAAATAAAATATAGTAGGAAATATGTCAAGTAAGGGAATTTTTAGTGGTAAAAAAACATTTGAGTGGGCTGACAAGGTCAGTTTGACTCCTGCACCTCTACTGACCTGCTTCATCGTGGTTGGCGGACAGCTTGTCAATCATCTCACGATCCACCGTCAGGATCTGGTGTTCGAGCACGTTAGCGTAGTGAGAGTTTTCTCTCTTGTCCCGCTCAAAGGCCTGTAGCTGCTGCTTCAATGACTCTGGGAGGTGGGCCTTTACATAGTCAGCGGCAGCCTATAGGAGGAGGACGACATGAAGAGGGTGAAAAAATATTTTCTGCTGAAAATGTCAACTAGTAAAAGGAGAGGTGTAACTGCACAGGTGTGTTAAAACAGAGGCTGGTGGTCTTTAGTGAGACCCCAAAGAAGAAAACAAACAAAAGTAAGAAAATAAAAGGACGAATGATGAATTTAGAATTCTACATTTGTGGCTTGACGGGTTTCTCTTTAGTGATTGCTCAGCAAGTCTTAATAATTTAATGAAATCTGTCCCATAAACCAGTGCTGCATCACTGAACGTCCTCCTGCCCTCCTGGCTCCTCTTCTCCTGCCCTGACGTATCTGCTTCTCCTCTCATTTTCTCTGCCAAGTTCTCCATTATGCAGTTGCTACTGTACACACTGCAGTACAGAGAAGGGTAAAAAGGAAAAGCCTTGATATTCTAATATAGTCTCCTCACCTGTGTGTCCCCACAGCTGCATCCTAACACTTCATACAACTCTGCAGAGTTATTATGGGATTGAGCAATTTCACAGTACAAGTATGTGCTGGTTTATGTGAATGCAGTTTTTCAAGCTTTATTACTTTTACCCTTCAGCACTTTTTCTTTTTATAGAAGCAATTAGGCTCAAACATATATTATACTTGTCAGACTAGTTTAATATAGTTTGGCTCTGGGCGCAGTGGATAGCATTTTAGCAAGTAAAAGTAATCAACGTACATACTCTGTACTGCAGTAGCTCGTGTGAGGTACAAATTTAAGGTGAAGCTAACGAAGTTTGTTACAAACTAAAATACGGCAGAGGAGTTAAAGAACAGCAGCCAGTGGAAATTTAATTGTTAAATGTAATATTTAAGTCTCTGTGCTGGGATTAAATGGTAAAAAAATTAGGTATTTTGAATAATGTCCAGGGTAATTTAACTAATTCTGTTTGACGCTAATTGACTTTGAGCTACTGTTTTTACCCATTTTTTTCCTGTAAGTGATTTAGTTTCATTTATAAAATTGTCAGATGAGGAAACACCATGTGTTGTTGTACAATCATCTATGCCTCACAGATGACTCCTACCTAGTCCGACCTCATAAAGTCTCACTTCTTAGTGAGCCTGATGGTTAAACTTTGCTATTAAGTCTCTCATTTTCGCCTCAGTCACAGAAACATTAATCATATTTAAATTTACACGCAGCAGAAGTGGAACTTAGTAAAACACTCAGTAAATCAGGCAGGAAGTGCAGCAGCGGTTTGTGCTGTTTTGTTATAATTCTGGGCTCTAACTTACAACTCAACATAGAAAAAAAAAGCGATGGCGAGGAGAGATGTTCTGCATTTTTCTCAGAGCGAGCGAAAACTTCTCAGCCAGAACCTGTTTTATGAGCTTGTAGATCAAGGTTGGCAACTCTACACTTCATTTTCAGCTCAGTTGCTTTGATATAATGTTTAATTCTCCCTCAATATTTGTAAAGCAGTAGGTGCATTTTAAAATAAGTGCAACACTTGCCTAAAATCTCCTGGTTAATCACTTTAAAAGCAAATAAGACTGTGATGAAAAAGAAAAGTCATTAGTGTAGGTGAGTGACACTGGTACTTTATTTCCTGTCACATGCTCAACCTTTCTTCCTCTCCAGCTTTATCTCCACACTATTAAACCTTTGGTCTGATCTTCTTTTTGGACACTTTCATAGTCAGTTCTGTCATACATCAGCCCTGACGCCCCTCAGTTTTAACCTCTTTTGTCTGAAACATGAATGCCTGACCTAAGGAATGGACTTTTTTTTCACCACAGACAACAGAAGCCTTGCTCTCAGATATCTTCTGTTTCGTTTGTACTGAGGAAACAGCGATTATTCCTCGTCTCTCCAGTGCATATTTTTCACTCTCTCTTGTCTGTGCTCAACCTGCTTCACACTCTTTGTTCTGCAGACCTGCAGGATCTGCTAACACCAGCACTTGACCTCATTTGTCAACATGTCCATCCACTTCCACAAAGTGACTACAGCTGACATCTGATCCCCCATGTGACCCCACCCTGAACCCACCTCATATTTTCTCACTGTCCTCAAACATATTGGATTTTATTTTATACATTACAATGCAGTACTGTGTGTACATGGTGTTTCAGTGCCCGGGATTTACATAGATAACATTTCCTTGAATAATAGGCTGGTGCAACCGTTACATACAAGAAACCGGTTCTCCAATTTCACATTACAGATGTAGAAATCATTGCAGGAAATAATAATCGGTTGTGCGGAATAATTTAGATAAAAGTGTGTTAACACATTTAACTGGTTAGACAAAAACTGTGATGAAATGAGAAAACAAAGTCTGAAAAGTATATAGTAATTAGATAAATGACAGATAATTCTTAGTGATGTGAGGGTAAGATGTATTTAACTTCTGGGCGTGTCGCAGGTAAAGATGCTGCTGCATGTGTGAATATGCCATAATGATTGTTTCCACACTTGTATGCAAAACATATTTTGTTGAACCAATGTACTGACTTGCATTGGTTGGATTGGTATAATGTATCCAGAATCCTATTCTTTACCTTCAGTTCAGTGTCAAACTAACTCTAATCTGACTGTTCATAGATGCATCAGATCCCTGTTTAAAAAGAGCCTTTTAAATTTAGAGCCAAGAAAAAGGTGTAAAACTGAGTACAGATAGATATTTATTTTTGCATGATTGGAGTCAAAACTAAATTTGAAAGATTTTCCTACAAACTCAGCACAATGTGTTGGACGTTAATGGAGGAAGCAGTGAAAATGTGGACTCCACATAGAAACAATACATTTTTGTTAAAGTGACATGACTGTGCAGAGTAATATACATCTGTGTCGATGTATAAGGAGTTCTGGATTTACAGTATACCATGTATTTCCGTTGCTTGAGTACATGAAGTCTGGGCTGTGAAAACAAGAAAGATGATTGGTTACAATGATGCTGGTGAAGACAGATGGTCTGAAGGCGGTCATGAAACACCATTGACTATTACAATACAAAGAGGGGAGGAGAGACAGACAAAACACACACACACACACCCCTCAACCCCTGACTCACACAGGGACACACAAAACAATATAATGCTGTGTGAGTGTGTGAGGGGAGGGGGCAGCGGGGGAAGCCGGGCTGCTGCATTTGAAAATGGGGTGACATTATGGAGTGCAGTATTCCTGGGCCGTAATTCAAACTACTGTATGTTTGTACAGTGAGGTGCACCTTATGTTGTCCAACAGACCTGACTAATGTTTCACAGTGAGCTGACCCAAAGCATACAGCTTTTTGATGGGATTTTTTTTCTATTTTTTTTGCAGATGCAAAACATATAGAGGTGCACTTGGCTGCGAGTGCAGGTGATGCCAAGAACTGTTGCAGCAGCAACAACAGCAGCAGCAGCAGACCTGAATTGACTGGCCTGAGAGCCTTTCCCCTCCCAACCTACCTCTCCGCCGTGACCGTCAAATATCCCGAAAATAGACGGGTGACTCTTGTTGGTGATGTCGGTGAGCACCTCGAAGCGGTCCTCCATGTGATCCCTCCGGCCCTGGATGGAGTACACGGCTACGTTGTTGTTCTTGAACTCCCATGTCTTGGAAAACTCTGCGTCCAGGATACTGAGGCCTCCCAGCCGGTCATTCTGCATCATCTCCGCCACCTTCCCCTTCACCATCTTCACGGCATCTCGGCTGGACTTGACGATGGTTTTCACCTCGTCGGTGTGGAAGAAGTAGCTCCACAGCGCCAGGCTTATACACAGAAGGAACAACGTCTCCGGCCTGAGAAGAAAATAGCGCATGATCCGACCCAGAAGAGACAGGAGAGTCATTGTGTCTCCTATCATCACACGCAGCCAAACAGTAG